AATTTTTTTTTTTTATTTTAAAATTTTTTTTTTTTTTTTTTTTTTTTTTTTTTTTTTTTTTTTTTTTTTTTTTTTTTTTTTTTTTTTTTTTTTTTTTTTTTTTTTTTTTTTTTTTTTTTTTTTTGTAATTTTAACATCACTTCTCATTATGGCAATGGGGAAATATACATAGAAAGCCTAGTTTTTTTTCTTTATCTTTAAGATTATTTTTGAAGTTCAGTACAAGATTACCTTGCCCAATGTGTGAATTCATAGGTGTATTTATTGTCTTTTTCAGCTGGTTTTTTAGCACCAGGTTTCTGACCACCTGCCTTTCCATCTTTGTTAGCAGGTTCTTTCAACTCAGCTGTCGGTGACGCTTTGCCCTTTAGAGGTCCAAGGGTCACTGGTCCTTCAGATGGCACGGATGATGTAATTTTTACCACAATGTCAGAGGCCATCTCCTTGGAAACAATTGATCCTTGGACTTGATGCTTCATTGCCATCATGGAAAACTTAGCAGGATTCGATCTAAAAAAATATGGTGATTCGTATTAATTTTAATGATTATTTTAGTTGAAAAGTTCATACAAAAAACAAAGATACAATGACAATGCTAACACTATACTAGTAACAACAACAATAGCAATAATAATAACATTAATAATAATAATTACAATAATAAATGATCACGATGCATGTGATGGCGAAGATTATGTGAAAATACATAAATAATTTTTGGGAACGTACTGAGTATTCTTTACAATAACATGTCAGGTAGGGCAAAACATCATTCCCATGACAATATTTTTACACACATTGAAATAACAACATGGTCAAAGGAACAAAAAATGTTTTCTTTAGGTCTGCAAAAAGACTGTTGCTATCAGTAATTTGTATTTCAATGCTTTTGCTGGAATAAAAGATTTACTGTAAATTATTGGAGCATACAGCGACTCGATTGGATTTTGCTCTGATAATGTAGTGTGGGGCAGATCTATATTATGAGGCACTCCCCGCTCTTTTGTTTGAATAGCATCATGACTAACAAACACATAAAGAAAGAGATGCCACCATAAAATCAGACATATGTAGTTATCATCACCCTCAGTAATTGAAATAATCATCAATTTTACAATAATCAACAATGAGGGCGGTATACAAATCTAATCTATGTATGTATTGGTTTGTTTATATCACTTACGTGTCAAATTGGTATTCTTTTTTGTCAAACTGATGACAAGAGGTGGTTGTGAGTTTATATTGCCCTGGGGTATCCACGCAGAAGGTGTTGCTACCTTTCACAACTGCAAATTCACCACTGGACTTGGCCACAGAAATGTGTCGATATTGCTTTACGGTTAACAAAGAAATAATTATTATCACAACATTAAAAATTATATTAACAATTCTAACAATAGTATTAATTTTATTTTAAAATACATGTGTAATTAACATAATAATAAATCAATCGGATTAACCACAAAATAATTAAAAACAACATAATAAATTATATTTGTTTGACTCATACAACCTATTTGCATTAATATTATTCCTATTACAACTTCTGGTATCAAGTATTTAAATAATCTATCTTATAAAGTTAATATAAAACTACACTATTATTATTATTATTTATGAATATAGCTTCATGAATGCTGATAATAAAAACAATTTCAATTAACTTCTGCATTTAGGTTTTTAAGATATTACAAGATACAAGACATATTATATTGTCTGAAATTACAGAAATTTAATAAACTGGGAACTTACTGCGCCTAACGGTAATCGCCCAACACAATTCTATGCACAACGAAAAACAACACATGCGCAACCGATTGTATTTAATGATGATCCGTTCACACTGCCACCGAAAATCAGCAGACAGCATCGCGCCTTTTAGCGCTCACAGGAGCGAATTTGGATTCGTTGGCTGACCCTCATACGACGCCGTGGCATTAGACTTTTGGGAGCGTTGTCTAAAGTGAGACATTAGCGAGCTTTCGAAATGGGCGATGCGGGGAGCTGCGACGGGGAATTCAGTCAACCATGAACGTCGTACTATGCACTTCCCGTCTCAATATCAAATTTACAGGACGACGCGCTCCCTCGTATCACTTAATCAATCATTCAGGCGCCCCCAGCGAGCGCATATTTATAAAACTCACGTTGCCGTAGTCAGCACAACGCCAAATCGCTTAAAGCCCATAGTCAAATCCACACAATGAACGACTTTCCCATGTATTCGCATGCGTAGTACAGTTTTACTGCCCGTCGTATAACGCCGTGTCGTCCAAATCGAAAGCTGCTTAATGTCAAGGAGTAAAATCTAAAGAATGACCTACCATAGAGCATGCATGAGAACTCTGGCACTGCAGCTTGTAGCCGCTCTGAACAATGTTGATGTCATTGAGGTCAGAGTTACTGACTTTAAAGGTTATTGGTTCCTTCCAACACCAGGCAGCATGGTCTCCACTCACTACAACATGAATTGTTATACAAACTTACATATTAGCTACATGTATTGTCCCAATTAACAGGAAGAATAAATTGTTCTCAAAACAACCACTTAATGAAGGAGTTATTCCATAATGTACAATGATTTAATATAAATTATGATAAAAGCCATCACAACTGCGACATTTTATAATAATTATAAAAATTATTACAATCAAGATAATAACAATAATTATTAGATATGTACCAGCAATGTATGCATTATAAATTTTATTTACTGGTAAACAAAACAAAAATGATACAGAACACGCTCTCTTTACTACAGTAAATGTTAGTATGATATAAATATATATGGTAATAGATCCTTGAATAGAAGCCCTATCTAAGTCTTCTTTAATAGTTTGCAAAATTAATCTTAAAAAGAAGCCCAGTATGGGCTTCTTTTCCAGAATAGCACAGGCCTACATTAGGTCAACTAATACTAGTATTAGGCTACTGTACATGAATTTCAAAGAAACAGAGATCAAGTTTTGGTGATTTAATGCCGATTAGTTATGATACCTTTTCCAGAATACTAAGCAAAGGCCTACATTAACCCAACTAATACTAGTAATTGGATAAACATACTCTATTGTATTTTTTCTAAAAGAGGATTTTCTTGATTTTTTTAAACAGTATTTCATGGTTAAAATGTTTTCAGTAGTCTTATAGTTTTATCATAATAATTCCCAACATTCATTTTTTAAAAGAAGCCTCCTCTTTACTTTGCAAATGTAGTCTTGAAAAGAAGCCTATCGAGCAATAAAAAAAAAAATTTTAAAAAAACGGTTTTACAGTATAACACACATTTTTTTAATCCCTAATGAGTCTTGCAAACCCTCTAATTTATTTGGCGATCCAATTTTGGGTCCTGACTTTTGACCTTTGAAAACCACTGTCATAGAACTTACAAGTGTATGTGCCTGGTAGTATGTCCCTGATGATAAAGCTGGCACGTTTGGTATTCTGCGAGATTTTAATGGTTCGTACAGAAATGCTAGGATGATCAACTGATGCCATAGCTATGTTGATGGATCCACACTTATCTAGAAGGAGAAAAAAAAAAAACAAGACAATAACTAAAGTAAAAATAATTGACAAAAACGAAGAGGTACTGTGGACATCAATCCATAATCATAACACTACTCAGTACAATGTAGCATTGCATGAAAATTGAATAAATCATAATAATAATTGTAGATCTGTACAGCACCGGTATCCATCAAACAAAATGCTTATGGCGCTTTATATGTGGACTAGCAGCTCCATCAAAGACTTTCTTCGCCCCCAAGGGTCCCTTCGTGCTTGTGCTACCCCGTAAGCTAGTAGCAGCAACTCTCGTCGTCCACCACTGTCTGTGTAGAAGTACACCGGGGTATCCCCCTACTCGTATTGAATGATGTACTGGGTTATAGTGCGCACGAGCCATTGTGTACACTGGGCCTACGGTTTATAGTCCATACCTCCGACTTGTTCTACCACCGGAACCATATGCGAGTGTACTGTTCGAAACAGCTCTGGTATTATGGCTGTAGTTTGCAGTGCCTCTGTTAACCGTTCGGACATTCGACTCATGCAACTCAACTACTATGGACACCCATTCATAATCACGTTACTACTCTATACATTGGTCATGTGACAATAGTTGACCAATACAAATAGTTTATCAATTACGGGCGTGTGATGTAGCATTGCATGGCAACTAATGTAGATAACTTATAGTTGGAAGGGACATAAAGCATTCTGGGCATCTAGTCCTACCTAGTTGCTTGCAGTTGCGTAGTTGCGAAGTTGAGAATGGAAGTCGGCATGAGGTCAGATGGAAGTCAGTTGAGTTGAGCCGATTCGCAAGGGAAACACAAGCTTTAGCTTCAGACTTACCAAGGCAATTAACAAAGCCTTTAAGTGTTGCTTTAAATTGTTGAAAATCAACATCCAACACAGGACCTGTCGAGATCTCAATGTTCCTTGTTTCTTGTGTTAAACGAAGACCAGCTGAGTGTTCTTTATCACTGATTTCAACCTGAATAAGAGAAATTAAAAAACTACATTTTAAGTCAATATAATAACATACTCTGAGCTCTTGGACTAGTAATAACATGGGTTCTCAGAATATGGATATTATAATATTGTAAATGATTTCAAATAGAAAAATTGAGAAATTCTTGTAATACCAGACCATATGGGGTTTGCCATATCACAACCAGCGTACTGACTCTATAGACCATATGAGCTTTGCCATCCCAAAACCAGCGTACTGTCTCTATATGTTAAACTGAGTATTACTGTAGCATAAGAATGTGGCAATATTGTATACTGTAATACACAGAAGCTGTAATACTCTTACTCATAACTTTGGGACTAGTAAGTTGTTTCCAGTATTGATCTATCATTTTAAAGCCTATATTTAATATAACGTGGAGAATATGAATATTAAACAGTCAACTTTCTTGTTTTGGTTACTAATGCTAGTTTTGTCATGGCAACCAGTGTTATGCATTTTCAACTTCAATGAGATGCTAATTTTTCTTATATTTTTCTTTTATTCCATTTCTGTTCATGCAAAGTTCAAAGAAACATTGTTTTTGGTATTATGCACTATATATTGTTATCATCATTATTAGTACCAATAGCCTTCTCCCATTACCTTAACAACATAATTTCCTGGTGAAACATCTACGCAGAAACGTCCATCTTTTCCAACAGTCTTCGTCACGGTACCTTTACCGGTCACGACAATACTATGAACCCGCTTTACCAGTCCGGATGGCCATTGGTCAATCCGAAGGCGTCCACATAAGTCAAATCTAGAAAAACAATTATAGGTTTTTGAAATGAATATAATTTAAGATTACAGAATACCAAGGAAAACAAATTTGACTCAACCTGAAAATAAATTATAAAAAATAAAATGTAAGTAATCAGTTTAAAGGACAAGATATAAGATGAGGGACAACTCAAAACCATAAAATGGTGTCAACTAGCAAAGTACGATAGAAAAAGAGGGAGCGGTCTCATACGTGCAACACATACTGTATATTTTTTTTTACTTTTAAATCATGTTCGTCTTACGTGCTGATCGTCCGTAACACACGCAAGTCTATTAAATGCAGTAGGAAGACCATAAAAAAAATAGGAATTCTGATTCTAACGGTAAAACGGGGTCATCTTATATGCCGACATACAAAAATCGCCCAAAAATATCCTTAAACTTGGGGGTCGTTTTGAATGTTGATTGCATTATACGCAAGAATATAAAGTATATAATTATTTTTTGTTCACCAAAGAGTCAAAAATATTTGTTAGATAATACAAATTTGTAACCTTAAAATCTGGATTTAGTCATGCGGTTTACAAATGAATGGGAGTGTGATGGTTGCCACTGAATCCAAAATTAGGTCTAGGTCAATATTTTAAAAAATGACAACCAACCCTGATATCCAAATGGTACCATACTTTGGCAACACTACCATTTGTTTTTACCTTACTACTGCTAACAATAGTACAGTTTGTTTTTTATTGACAGGTTGAGTGGTATTGTGATAGTGCCTAAACTATGCGTATACTAACTTTTTTTGTTTTTTGACAACCATGATTTGTATTTATGGCAAGATAAACAGCTTAACCCTCACTTCTGAAGACAGTTTGCTATTTAATGTTCTGTTCCAGTGTAGTGATTAAATGAACCAGGACAATGTTATGTAAGGATCTCAACTGTTTAGCACATTCACAGTGCCTACCTCCAGTGTAGCTGATTAATTTAAGCTGATTTCATTGTAAATAAAACATGCGGGCAGTTTAAGAAAAGATTCTGTGAAAATTAGCATACCGGTTAGCGACAATATCATTGAGCTCTGGTGTATTGGCCGTAATCTTGGTCATCAGGTCACCAAAGTGGTAGTGGTCTTTGGCAGCGTTGATCTTGTAGTGTCCAGACTTCATCTTCTCCAGACGGAAGGATCCATCTGCTTTTGTAATTGTTGGCGATTTATTATTCACAGTCACTGTAACACCAGCAATTCCTTTTCCCTACAAGAATCGCATAGAAATTGTTATTTTAAGTAAAAATTATAAATATAAATGCATGCTGTGCATGATTTACTTGTGTAATTAAAAATGGTGTCAGTTTTTACTAAAATTAAGTTTCATGAATAGAAAATTAAGTATATTGAAATTGGTATTGGTTTTAGTTGGGAAAACAGAGCAAATGTTAGCTTTATTTACCTTTACAGAATCAAGAACTTTGCCAACGACAGAAAATCCTTCAATCTGAAACTGGGTCTAAAAATATCAATGAGTGAAAACATTAGGATAATAAATAAACAATCAGATAATTCAGACAGTGGCGTAACAAAGAGGTCTGTGCCCCCCCCCCCTTGGCTAAGGCTTCTTCTGGTAGAGTTTTCTGATGCTTTTCTACAGCGTTCCTTAGAAAAGCTTCACTAGGCCAATGAATGGGGGCAAAGAATGCTGAGTAACATCGAGAGGGCCCTTTAAGGGCTGAGCCCCTGGATTTAGCTGGTGAGAGCTCATGGCTCTAAAGCTACGTTCACATCAAGCCCGAATCCAGTCCGGAGTCCGGACAAAAAATCATGAGTTGCTACGCTATTTGAACACTGCGTTCACATCGCGCACGGAACACGGTTTTCGGGTTAAGTATGCATGCGTACGATTGGTTCGAACCAACCAAGCTTGTTGCTGATTGGTCCAAGAAAAAAACGTACGATTTCAGGATAAAAATGGCTCTCAGATCCATCAGTCCAGATCCGGAGTCCGGATTGAAAATCGTACGAATTTGATGCGAACGGTCCTGCTCTTTACCACTGAACCCATCTTTCATGATTTTTTCTCCGGGCTCCGGACCGGAATTCGGGCTTGATGTGAACGTAGCTTTAAACAAGGTAATTAAAAAAAAGGACGCACATCTCGGGACATCAAAGGTTATAACTCTGGCATCGACATTCTAGGCGCACGTGCGTCCCTACACGCTGAACGTCACAAAAACCATAGCAACCAGACCATACAACCGTCAGCGTACGTGACGATTTACCCATTAAATACACCTTAGAAGGGAGGGGGGTTCGTAGATGGCAGGAAATGTGTTTTCCCGACTTCTGTGGGTTACCTTTGGTGTTTACACCGAATAAATCCATCCATCCAATAAGACTGACAAGATTGCATTATAGGCAATGTCAACCGTTCAAAATTCGTCAGTTAAAAGCTAGGAATTGTTTTACGGCCATTGTTTTAATTGCAAGTTTTTGGTATATTTTTATTGGTACTAGAGGTGGAACAAGCCTTCTCGGATAAGGACTATAAATCTTAGGCCCAGTGTACACCTGTCTCTTATACACATCTAGATGTGTATAAGAGACAGGTCCTGTACAGACTATCAACATGTGACATGCCTAAATATGGTAATGATGACATCATGACTAAAGGCCTATAATATAGGTGCACCATGTCTAATATAGAGTACTACAGTTTTACGTGAGGATACCACGTGATATTACTCCATTGCTACCGTTGCAAAATGCGTTCTACCTGATGCCATTTTCTCCACTGAAAAACCATTTATCCCAATTTCTAACGTAATTATGACGATGTTGTATCTTAATTTTCTTTGTAAATTTTAATTCTGTGCTTTTAGTACACTTTGATGGTAAAATATAAGATTTTAAAATGTCTATTCCAGAAAGCCTATGAAGTCATTCAGGCGTAAAGAACAGTAACCAACGTCTGGTTGGCAACAGAGGGCGGTACTCTATATTGGCATAGAACAGTTTTGTGTCCAAAAAAATTTGATAGTGTAGACAAAGCTTAATATCTGTCCACACTATTCAATTTCATCAAAAAAAGCATCACATAAAATGTGATGGAACAATATCATCAAAATACATCAAACTGCCTCAAAAATATGTTTTTGATAAAACTGAAGTATCAAATCTTATTGGTTGGTGTGATTTATAGTGTTTGCTTATTGGTCAAAGGTGTTTTCTAAAAAAAATTAACTTTTTGACAGACGACATCAAAAAAAAAGTTGAACACGTTCAACTTTTGTTGATACAATTTGAAATTATGTGATATGACGCCAATTGTACCCATATATGGGCACATCACATTTTCTTTTCACATAAAACGTGATAGTGTAGACTGAGCTTAGGATAAATAGAATTAATATACTTGAGAGGAATGTGTGATGATTAATAATTAAACTATATCGACAGAAAAGGGTCACAATGAAGGCAAAAAATAGTATACAATGTTGGCACTTGTGTCAGTAAAACACACACAACTATTATTATGTATCAAATTCTCTGTGTACTGAGCTCATTTGGCTAAACCAGGGATGTAGTTACGGTGGGCAGAGCTGGGCGGGGCCACCCAGCCTTGAAGTTTTCCACCCAGTCTAAAGCTAATTTGATGGCCCTCCACCCACCTCTTGTTAACCCACTTTTCCATCCTTGAAATCCACTCTTATTTATCTTAAAGTTTACAGAGGTTATCACCCGCAAACCTTTAAAAATGTTTATCACCCACCATTAATTTTCTACAGCTACAACCCTGTTAAACTAGCGGTAACCATGTGTGTGCATCGAACCATAGAGATCATTACATAACACTGTAGCCATTCACCCACTGCAATCCTTGTGTATCAGACAGGGAATAGCATATAGCAGCATATAGTTTTCAATGTTACTGAATTGTAAATTGGTACTCCAATTCAGCTCTTTGGGCTGCTATTGTACAAATAATGAATAAATAAATAAATGAATAAAAGAATGTGTGTAATTTACAACTCTTTGGGCTGCTATTGTACAAATAATGAATAAATAAATAAATGAATAAAAGAATGTGTGTAATTTACAACTCACCACTGAGTACTGTCCAGTGGGTACGCTTGGAAATACAAACTGACCCATGGCATCAGACTGGACATAACAGAGGACAGCTTTACTACCAGAATGTTGGAAGCCATTTGGAGCCTTCTTTTGACAATCAGACACATCCTGAAAAAAAACATATTGCATATACCTGGGAATTAATTTATCTGGAACAGAATTTACACACACAACCAGGGAAAGCAGGATAAAAGATCAGAAATTTTCACTCTTTAATGTGAAAATTTATGGAGGACAATAATGTAAGTAAATTAACAGACCTAATAAAAAATAATTGGAGATTCAAAACTTGATAATGATGATAACAATGATGATGATAATGATGAGGATGAGGATAAAAGATCCAAAATGTTCACTCTTCATTGTGAAAATGTATGCAGGACAATATTGGAAGTAAATTAACAGACCTAATAAAAATATAATTGGAGATTCAAAACTTGATGATGATGATGATAATGATGATGATAATGATGAGGATAATGATGATGACAGCGATAATGATAATGACGATAATGATGATGACATTGATGATGATGGTGGTATAGTGAAGATGATGATATTGAAGATTATGATTTTGGAAATGTAATCATGATGTTGATAATGATGACATTGATGATGACACTTATAATGATATTATAGGTCTCCCTCTAATAATTGAACCATCTAACCAAAGACCACCTCCAATTAAACATTCTGTGGTACCAAATTTCAATTTCTTTTATCTTTATTATTCTAATTAGAGACCAAAGCTGCTAAACACCATGGAAACCCCAGTCCCAAAAGTGGTCTTTAATTGGAGGGAGACCTGCATTTTACCTCTGATTTGACTGTGTCTGACAGTAGGACAAACTTTACATTTGGAACCATTTCTCCTTCACTGGAAACCTGACCTTTGACATCATATCCTGCAACAACTAGGGAATCAGTAAGGGCAACACTATCCTTAGTAACAGTGAGTGATGTTGACACTTTCTTAAACCTCCAGACAGGGTGTGTTGCTGTTACGACGTAATCACCAGGCATAATCTTGGGAAATTTAAATCTATGAAGAAAATTAATGAATGCACAGCTTCAAATTATTTATATTAAGGACAGGATATGAGGCTTGCTATCCCCAAAACAAGCGTACTGTCGCTAATTTTTAAACTAAATAATTAATATAATGTAGAGAATTTTAATTTATTAAAAAAAGGTCAATTTTATTGTTTTGGTCATTGATGATGGTTTTGGCATGGCAAGCCCCATATGTTATAAGAAGATATATAGACTATACTCGTAAAAAAAATCAGGGTAACATTCTAGCATTTGTTACTTCTTTGTTATACATTATAGAAGCACAGACCTAATGGCTGGTAGTTTGGGGAAGATACACCTAGACGATAACGTACAAATATTGTATGTATGTTTGTTGTTACGGCAGTGCACTTGAGTACGGGTGCCTCTGAACATATCCCAACCAATGCAGAGGCAATACAAAATGCTGTCCCAGTGCTGGCAACGAGTTTAGTTGTCTCCTAATAAATTTCCCGCTAATTTATTAGACACACTTTTTTGATGATATATCAAAAAATTGTGTTTGTACTGTAAACTTGCTTTGGCAATGTGTTAATGGGGCTAAAAACTAAATTTTCTTTCTTTTATTGAAAAAAAAATGTCTTAATTAATAAACTATACTTGAAAAGAGTGTTCTTGTTCATACTTTCCAGAGCTGTTAGTTGCTGTTTTCATTGGCTTTCTTATTTCTGTACGGGTTTCCATGGAAATAACAACACCCTGAGGACCAATACTTTGACCTTTACTGATGACCTATTAAGAAAAGTAGCAGTGAATAAACATTAAGGACACTATATTATGAATATGCATGGCAATGTACAGGAATTTTATCCTCTTGCGGGGAAAAAAAACTTTACGTAAAAGATGCAGGATAAATCTTCATAATTAAATTCTATCTTTATACATGGGTTGGGCACATTAGCTGAGCAAAATGGTCATTGCTTTAGCTCTGTATATCCTTGTGTAGAGGCTTCTAAACCTTTGGTCATTTTATTTATTTTATTTGACCAACACTTACAATAACAATGAGATTGTAAAATATATTATGTTAAAACAAAAAAGAAAAAGAAATGCTGGATATTAGTTGCTTCAAAGTCCATTGCTAGTTGTACTACTCAGATGAGTCAGCTATCCCTTCAAATAAAAATTATATATAGTATGGTAGTGGATGTAGTTTACTGGTTATGTTGCTTGTCTTACAATCCAGGATCCCAGGTTAAAATCTTGTGACAGCACAGTTTCTTTAATAAGTCACGACTAAGAAAAAAAACATCTCCACTCCCTAAGCCTTGTAATGAGACTTCGCTGAGAAAAGCATCTCATTATTTCATATATTTAAAAGGTACCTAAATATCAGCTAACCTACTAGAATACACTGGAAGGGTTACCCTCTATAAATATGGTTAAAATAAAAAACAAATAAAGTTTAAAAAAAATACAATTTAGACCTATTTAAAGTTCATAATTTACAATAGAGGTTACAGTAAATATTAGAAGAAAAAAAAAATTGAAAGTATAACATATCATGAAGTCAAAAAATGAATAAAGTATTTAGGTTTAATCTCCTACAGCAGTAGGAATATTTTGACAAAGTGAGCAAAGTAGTACCATTGTATTTTTCAACACTGTCTAATGGACAATAAATTAACATGCACAAGTAATGAACTACTTCCATCCTGTTATTGTGAGCACTTAAAACACTTTGACCCACACACACACAAAAACATTTACTAGAAGAGGTAACACTCATTCAGAAGCTAAGAATCAAAGGAGAACATTAAATCAAGTTAATTTATAAATTTTAGTATTATATAGTTGATCCAAAAAAATTTATTTAATTAAACTATAACATTCCATCTACATTCTACAAATGGGAAACATAAATTATTTTTTGTTGTAAACATTATTCCTTATATCCATCCAATAGCTGCAATGCAATGTCCCCTTCACCAAACTCTCACCCTCGTTTGTACTACTGTATAAACCCGGCCACCACCCTGAATAATCATTTGAACATACTATTTTGTAGTTCAAAATGTAAAACCCTGTCTATTCAGGCGTTAAAAAAATTTCTCCGTTCCTGTCCAGTCCGAATACATTATAATGGGTCAGTCCCATACATCCCAGCACCACGGGGATACTGTACAAATATATATGTCCTCTCCTCAGTCCTGGCTAGTGCCTCACAATTGCACGGGGATTACAATTGGCCAATGGACAATGCACACATAAATTTAATGGCCCTGTCACACCTTTACGATTTTGTCAGCGTATGCCGACGTATCAAAATTTCTCTTAAACACTGGCATATGCTGAAATATCGATGAAATTGTTCAATTTTTGGCGCATACAGTACATAGCATATTCATAAAGTATCGGACGTATACATAACGTATTATTAACTTATGCAAAACATATACCAACGAATGCTTAGCATGTTGCCGGCATTCACAACTTATGCCCAACGATAGTCTATCCTATGCACAGCGCGCGGTAGTGTATTACCGACGAACACGTGACTTAGCCTATAAAAAGGTTGCCGCTCATCGATTCAAATCATAACCGCACTAGACATCACAGTATCAAGATCACCGTATCGCCATCACCCCATTTTAATATACATATTATCCTAAACGCTACTAATACGCCATTATACAGTAACTGTAAGTTAGAAATACGTTCAGTAAGTTCGTGGTCGTGTGTAAAACGTCAAATACGTCTACATACATCAATATACGTTGGAGATAAGTTCAAAGCACTTACCTCATAGGTTAGAAATACGTTTTACGTACGCTCAACGTATTCCGACTTTTGAGTAACTTACAAGTAACGTGTGTCAACGATCGCTTAACTTACCTACAACTTAAGGCCCGCGTATGCGGAACATACGAGCCATACACTGGCATACTATTTTTGAGCATGCACAAAACTTTTTGACGTACTCACTGTACTTGTACGTGTACCAGTGTGCTTCAGCACGCTCTTAAACTTATACGGAACTTATCATTAACTTATTCAAAACTTACCAATTTATTCGACGTATGCCAGCGTATTCGCCAATTTTTCCATACGTCGGCATACGCTGGCTAAATCATTTAATAGGGTCATAAAGAGCAAGCTTAACAATTTTATATCACTTGAGAAATGATTTAGTAGAACTGCATTTGTGAGTGAACACATCATTGCCTACAGTAGGTAGTAAAATTACTGTCGTACAAGTACGCATCTGATCCAACTACAGTACTAAAGGTAAAGTGTATGCTATTTTCCAAGAACCCCATGACACCATACACATTTTTCATCTGTTTTCCGTCAAAGTTTTACAGTAGCCTGGCCTAATCGTTTAAACTACAGGCGGCAGGCTAAACCGTACAGCCATATTATTTAATTTATTGTTTTTTCCTTCTTTCTCCAACATTCAGTGTCTTCTTCATCTAGGTTTACAGTACAATACTTCTTTGCCTACTGTACCTGGGCCATTCGATATTATTTTATGAAAATACAAGGACAGTAATAACTTGTCTAGAACCATCCCAATCCTATGCATTACAAAGGCTCGTCGCTAAGCTTGGATGGAGCGATGCACCTGGCACGTCATTGCAAATTTAGTTCAGAGCGTCTACGTAACGAACTCGCACAAGATCCGTAAATTTATAATGGGATATTGCGTACCTGATTATGATAAATCAGTCCACAAATTACGTAAAATCGGTATACTTGTCCATTAAAGCTTGGGCATAGAGCAAGACTTTACCTTTCCTTCAACAGCAAAACCCATGAACTGAAAATTAATATCTTCTCCTTTACTACAGACATCGGACTTGCCATCAATATTCAATTCAACACTTGTTGGTTCTTTGGAAAAACAATTAATGCCATATATTGTAATATCATTATTTACATAAAAATTTCTAATTGAAAACTCAATCTAACATTCTCAATACATATTTCTCAAAAGTAATGACAGAAAATACTGTCGAAAAGCAGGCTTATGGGATTTGAACATTTTCTGTTAACTAATGTTAAAATATAACAAATACATTTTTCTCTCATTTTGTGATGAAACCATTATCTTTATCAACTGGCACAATGAAAAGATGATAAAATATAAAGTTTTTAATATATAACATAATACTGTACTATACTGTATATCATTTTAGAATATTTTGTTGTATTTATTATCATAAATAGCTGTAAAATATTTCTGAACAAACAAATAGTAGTGCACACAGACTGTTTTTACAGTATGTTATAAAATGTTAGTCTCATCAAACCACATTGCAGACACTGTGGGAGTTTTACGACTCATGGTCGTCGGCCAGTTCGATTCTACGGAAAATGCCATACCACCACATGTGTGCAACGGATATTTTTTAATGACGATCCGCTCACACTGCTACTAACAATCAGCAGACAGCATCGTATAGCACTCGCAGAAAGCAGATTTGAATTTGTCTTTATAGCGGTACGTTAGCAGGTCAAAACGGCAACAACCAAAACGGCAATGACCAAAACGTCAATAACCAAAACAGCAAATAACCAAAACGGCAAATAACAAAAACAGCAATAACCAAAACGGCAATGATAACATGACAAATTCTTTAAGCCTCATTTTGTCTGTATTTTATATATTGGAGTGTTTACTGCTTTTACTGCTTTTTACAATTGAATTTGTATGTTGTTATATTGTTATAGGCCTATTATTATTATTATTATTATTATTATTATTATTATTATTATTATTATTGTTTTTTCACATTTTTTAATTCTATGAGATAAATTGTTTTACCTCGTTTTGTCAGTATTTAAGAGTTTTATTTTTATTTGAATGTTTAGTGCTTTTATATTGTGTTTTTCCAATATTTTATCACTGAATTTGTATGTTGTTTATATTGTTATTAGGCCTGCCGTTTTGGTTTATTGCCGTTTTGACTTATTGCTGTTTTGACTTATTGTTGCTTTGGTCCATTGTCGTTACGGTAAAAAAGTGTTGACATTTTGGTTTATTGCCTTTTTGGTTATTTCCGTTTTGACTTAGAGTATTGCCATTTTGTTTTTGTGCCGTTTTGACTAGAAAGCTTTAATACTGACATACTCACCGAAGCTCCAACCTTGTGGTGGTTCAATCTTGAGAACAAATTCACCCTTGTCATAAATTGGTATCATGAAGTAGCCATTGTTTGGAGCACAGTCTGTGTGATATTTGAGAGCACCTTCCTTATTATAAACTTTCATCTATAAAAAAAAAAACATGGCAGTTTGTTAATTGCTCCTTGTCCAGATAGTATTAGGTACACTGTAGGTGGAAGTGGTTGGCACACAGGTTGTGCCTCGGACAATCAACCTCGAGGTCGGGGGTTCAAAACATTCACTGTGAAAGTCACTTGTGTCCTTGGGCAAAAGAGTACAATAAGTGGGTATCTAGGAGTACAGTATTAGTGGGTACCTACTGGGGAGGTTCGAGCACAAAATTGAATTTCCCCTTCTGGCATTGTTCGAATGACTGGAGTAGAAAAAATCACTTTGAGACTTAATTTTGTAGAGTGCTCTATAAAAATATACATATTTTATTATTGTAGTACATAAAGGTTGTTTTTTTCTGAAAATGATGTGATCGGATGAGGGAAATGAAAACAATCTAGGAAGACCAAATGTTAGAGATCGTGTGTATGATTAAAATAATGAAGTTGCAATGGTTTACTGTAGGCCTACTGTATCGTGTATGAAAGATTCTATGCACATACATACTGTGCCTGTACACAGTTACACAGTTTTAAATATGGTGATTGTTGAGAGGAGACAGTCTTAACTCATAGCTTCCCTATATCACTAAGGTAAGAATCACTAAGGTAAGAGAGATCTAGGCTAGGGCTAGGTCTAGGCCTAAACAAGATTTTGCCAAAATATTGGGACTACTGCTGTAGATTAATTCGGATATTTAGGCCTAGGGCCTAGGCCTATTTGTCATTCAATTATTCGAACTGACTGAAAACATACAATACAAAATGGTTTTTTTTTTTGGTTTTTGTTTTTGTTTCATACATCGCGCCCGAAACAATCCTAGGCCTACACCCTTCGCACCGGCCTAGCATAGCTGCCCCGAATTACAGTCAAACCGTACCCATGCCAACCCATACCCACAACCGTACTCAAAATTTTGGTAAATCCGTACCCAGAATTTTCGTTAACCCGTACCCATCTTTGGCCAATCCGTACCCATCTTTGGTTAAACCGTACACAGCATATACACTACCCGTACCCAAGTTTGATGAATGATATTTTTACTAGGCCTATAATAAAACATTTTTTGCAAACTGTATTGTATATTAGATAGCAATCATATTAAACTATACTATGAACGCCAAGCTTAATGGGTTAGAATACATAATTACCTTTACCGAGCATGTATTAAATCAAGAAATTCAAATTCATGATCGCCTAGGCTAGGCCAGACACGTTGGTCGCGATTAACAGCATGGAACGCCGATGTACACATGAACTTTTAAGAGGTTATTCGCACGGACCGGTACCTTTTTATATTTACTTGTGTACGGGTTGACCAAACGTGGGTACGGATTGACGAAAATTTGGGTACGATTTGACCAAAGTGGGTACGGGTTGCTATGAGTACGGGTTTGTTTGGGTACGGATTGACCGACACCCAGCTGCCCCAGCCCAGGCAGTATGTCTCTACGCCCTTTGCCTCCCTAGGCTAGGCTTGCTGGCAGTGGTATTCGGCTTGCTATTTAGGCAGGCTAGGCTAGCCCTAGCCACCTAGTAATTGCTCTTTTTTACCTGAATGCGAGAGTAACTGATTCCTATGTCCGACTTCACAAATCCACCACATCCTATAAACTCTTGACAAAGTACATTGCACATCATTTCTAGTAAAATGACGACCAATAAAAGGTCTAGGCCTAGGTACCATTTGATACTCATCTTTTAGTACTCGCCGCCGGTTGATGAAAGAGTGACTATCGGCACTGCCGCCGTGCCGATTTGGCGCAGCCACAGTGCAAAAAAAGCTGCTGTTTTCTATCGGCACTGCAGCAATGCTAAAAAGCTGCTGTTTTCTATCGGCACTGCCGCAGTGCGAAAAAGTTGCTGTTCTAATCGGCACTGCCACAGTGCGAAAAGCTGCTGTTAATTAATCGAATCGATGTTTTTATCGATAGATGACATTATGGTATCAATAATTGATATTAGGTCTAGCCTAGCCTATATTATTGTTAACAGTTTTACAATTAATAATTATAATTATTTCTAATTAAATTATTAAATATATAATAGGCCTGTATAGGCCCTGTCTCTTATACACATCTAGATGTGTATAAGAGACAGGTACTATACTGTATATCATTTTAGAATATTTTGTTGTATTTATTATCATAAATAGCTGTAAAATATTTCTGAACAAACAAATAGTAGTGCACACAGACTGTTTTTACAGTATGTTATAAAATGTTAGTCTCATCAAACCACATTGCAGACACTGTGGGAGTTTTACGACTCATGGTCGTCGGCCAGTTCGATTCTACGGAAAATGCCATACCACCACATGTGTGCAACGGATATTTTTTAATGACGATCCGCTCACACTGCTACTAACAATCAGCAGACAGCATCGTATAGCACTCGCAGAAAGCAGATTTGAATTTGTCTTTATAGCGGTACGTTAGCAGGTCAAAACGGCAACAACCAAAACGGCAATGACCAAAACGTCAATAACCAAAACAGCAAATAACTAAAACGGCAAATAACAAAAACAGCAATAACCAAAACGGCAATGATAACATGACAAATTCTTTAAGCCTCATTTTGTCTGTATTTTATATATTGGAGTGTTTACTGCTTTTACTGCTTTTTACAATTGAATTTGTATGTTGTTATATTGTTATAGGCCTATTATTATTATTATTATTATTATTATTATTATTATTATTATTATTATTGTTTTTTCACATTTTTTAATTCTATGAGATAAATTGTTTTACCTCGTTTTGTCTGTATTTAAGAGTTTTATTTTTATTTGAATGTTTATTGCTTTTATATTGTGTTTTTCCAATATTTTATCACTGAATTTGTATGTTGTTATATTGTTATTAGGCCTGCCGTTTTGGTTTATTGCCGTTTTGACTTATTGCTGTTTTGACTTATTGTTGCTTTGGTCCATTGCCGTTATGGTAAAAAAGTGTTGACATTTTGGTTTATTGCCTTTTTGGTTATTTCCGTTTTGACTTAGAGTATTGCCATTTTGTTTTTGTGCCGTTTTGACTAGAAAGCTTTAATACTGACATACTCACCGAAGCTCCAACCTTGTGGTGGTTCAATCTTGAGAACAGGGCCTGTATGTAGGCCTAGGCCTACATGAGAGTGCTGTTCATTTACTAATGAAAATAAACAGCTATGACAATGAGAGGAGAAAAGGCGGGCCTCGAAAAAGATGAAACTGACAGGGAATTTGAATAGGTGTCATGGTTCAAATGTTTTTTATTGTCCTGATTGTTGACCTACAACGTTTTAAAAAAAATCATTCATGAGTCTATAAAGCATTGGCCGCAATGGCCAAGGTTTTCAATCCTGCAGTTGGCTAGGCCATCAAAGTTACTTGATAAGTATGTCTGAAGAAATCGGGATTACACAAAAATACTAATTTGAGAAAGCATGGGCCTATGTACATCATAGGCCACAACACTACTTGACTGCATGTGACATTCTCTATAAAGTTATCAAACTACTATCTGAACATTAATATATCGTTACATTCTAGCCTACATAGGTTTTCACTCCCTGAAGTTGGCTTGGATATCACTAATGTATGTCAAAAGGACTCTGGGGGTTATACACAATGCTAGTGTAACGCATGGCCTACATCGTAGGCTACCACCTGTCTCTTATACACATCTAGATGTGTATAAGAGAACCATAGTATGCTGCATAGCACTGAGCATATGGATGTAATATAATAATAATATTAACTATAATTAAACACTAATCAGTGGGCTTATTCGACTGGTTCATTTCGTTGAGTACGATTTTTTTGTTGAGTATTATTTTCATTCGACTGGTTTGTAAAATAGCCTTCGTTGACAACGAAAATTAACGTAACCAGAATGCGTTAATCAGCGCGTTAAGTTATGCACGTGACCAAAATAAAAATATGGTCAGTTCAACAACGTTTGCGTTAATATAATTTAAATTAAATTTCAGAAAATAAAAATTACAATTTTTACCCACATTGAAGTCAAAAAATAACTGAAGGCTAATAGAATTCAAAAATAGGCCGGGCCCAGCGGGAGCGTGTGTCTACTGCCTTATACAGGAATCTTTCAATTAGTTTTTTTTTTTTTTTTTTTTTTTTTTCTTATTGTATCTTATGTTCTTCAATATGCAGATGTGTGTATTATTGTAGTGTATCTGGATTTTTCATAAACACATGTACATTTTCTTTCATAACAAAATTCTGGTACAAGCCTACTACTATATAACACTAAACACACATTAAAAATGAGTAACTTTGGGGTTACCACGTTATGTCGTTGATCACGGAGAGTACTTCTATGTTTTAAAGGGCGTTCTTCAAATGACAATAAAAGGCGTTTGTGGTGAACGTGTGCTGGGTCTCTATTACGTGTGTTCGAGTTTTGAACGCAATTTTGTTCGAGTTCCGAACGTTATTTGATAGTCAATAGAGCGCCCCCTACCTCATGGTAGTAGTACCATAGAGAAAATCAAAGATCTCATAAACACAAGATAGCGTTTTCCGCGACTTACGCGTAACGGCGAATAGAAGCGTTGGTCAAGGTACAAAAGTTTCCAATTTAGCAAGAGGGCGCCATTCATGCGCTATTATACCAAAGAGAAAAAGTAATCAGTTTTGGAAGAGGGCGTTTTATCTGTTGCCATGGATCTGAGATGGTTCCTGTTTTCTGCTGTTCATAGGATTGATACCCTAAAGGTAAAGTCGCGCGGTGTACGGTATGGTCAGAGCGGTCAAGGGTCAAAAGTTTCCAATTTAGCAAGAGGGCGCCATTCATGCCTTATTACAGAATTTGCACGCGTAAATCGCGGAGAACGCTATCTTGTTTATATGATCTTTGGTACATATCAACGATATATAAACACAAGATAGTTCTTCGTGGTTTAAAGAAGAACGGCCTGTCGAATACGGCCATTGAGATCAGCGCAAAAAATGACATTCTGCTAGGGAGCAGCTGCAGCAAAATACAGTAATCTGCTAAATTCTGCTGCTAAATTCCCATACTGTCTATTACACTCCACTCCGTTGTGAATTATATTCTGCAAAACCATCATTTGTTGGTGTTTACCAAAAATGTAAAATCTCGGGATGCCCCAGAGATTTTTGCCATAGGTTTGTGTACATATAACTCTCTAGTTACTAGTAATTGTTCATTGCTGACTGGCAATTTGTAATTAGGCCTATAGCATCATATTAATTGTATGTGTTTGTGACAAGAAAACGATACTTCAATTACTATATCAATCAAACAATCATCCAGAAAAATCATTAAGAAATACTATGGTCCCAAAATGTGTCAGATGAGAGTGGATCTATTTTTAATGCCCATTGTCTCTTTTTAGAATATATTGGAGTCGTAGGCTTGGTGTGGTTTGCTTATCAACTCCTAAATATTATACCCAAAAGTGTAATGGTAATGTTGTATAATTCTCTAATAATGCCACATCTAAACTACGGCATACTTGTTTGAGGTTATGATTGTAAATGGGTTACATTGCTGCAAAAAAGCTATACGTATACCTTAAGTAAATATAATGCTCATACTGAACCTCGAATGATAATATGCATTCATATAATACAAGAATACAAACACTTACGTATTATGCATTCGTGCTAGTTTACCTTCTGTTGTGAACCATAATGGAAATTTAATAATTTATAAGGTACATACTCATTCTCTGAAAAGATTCACATGATTGTAAATGGGTTACATTGCTGCAAAAAAGCTATATACGTATACCTTAAGTAAATATAATGCTCATACTGAACCTCGAATGCTAATATGCATTCATATTATACAAGAATACAAACACTTACGTATTATGCATTCGTGCTAGTTTACCTTCTGTTGTGAACCATAATGGAAATTTAATAATTTATAAGGTACATACTCATTTTTCTGAAAAGATTCACAACATACATAAACAATGTATATATAAACGATTACCTTAAGATATTTGTAGGCCAATTGATAATTGACTTTTATTTTCTTAGTAATCACATCTAAAATTTCGCTAACTGTAATGAATGTTCATATTTTAGCTGGTATGTACTGCGAAATGTACGTATTGTGTACGTTAATGCAGTTTAATATTGGTTTTACCTTTTCTATTTACATTGTGCTTGTAGAGAAGAAGAACTATTTTTATTACTTTGCACCATAATGAATAATAATATTTATAACAGGTAGTGCGGATGTTTGTGGTTACGGCTGAAATCTTGTTTGTTTGTTTTGTTTGTTTTTATTGTTTTTTCCATACACAACATAAAAATACAATGTATTTGAACCTAACTAATATTACAAAAGTAGAAAAAAAAAATCATATATACTGTAAATT